TTTTTTTTTGCCATTTTTGGTAATAACCTTTCTAACATCATGTTCGTTGTTGGAGACAACTGTGCAGTCAACAAGCGCTTGGCCCACCTCATGGGTGTTCCGCTTGTTGGCTGCGCCAGCCACCACCTGAATTTGGCGGTGCGACGGTTTCTGGAGCCGTATGAAGAGGATATGGAACAAGTCCAAACGCTAGTGAGGCGGCTACGCACGATCACTCAAGCTTCCAAGCTGCGGTAAGTGTTTTTAAAGTCTTATTTGATTTTAATGTAAATACTTATATTAACTGTTTTGTGAAACAGACTGAAAACTTCACTTCGTCCGAAACTTCGCAACGAGACGCGATGGGGGTCAACATTCGCGATGCTGGATCGCTACCTGGCTTTCGTGAGTATATAAGTGCGGATGACGAAGAGCTGGCGATGCCGTCACCGGCAGCCAACCGCAGATTAAAAGCGCTCCTGGTCGAGATGGCAGATGTCGAGTCAATTTCGAAGAAATTACATTCGATAGACCTCAACCTGCTCGACGCTCGTGACCTTCTCAACGGACTGCTCGAGATCAAGCCGTCTTTGAGCCACTACCTCGGTACGTTTTGTTTTAATGTCTCCTTTTTGTTTTGTTTCTAATAGTCTTATTAGGTATTATCTTGTAGCACCGAACTCGGATATTGTTCACTCCCCCGATTTCGAGTTGGGGGTAGTCAAGGTTCTCGGGGGCCAAGCGAAGCGGCTTACCCGTGCCGAGCGCTCGGCCCTCCAACCGTTTCTTCGCCGCTCGACAACTGCCACCTGCGAAGAAGAGGAGGCGGCGAAACTTGGCTTTGCCGACAGAATCCTCAAGCGGCGGAAGGTGGAAGCCGAACCCAGTGCGTACATCTTGCTCCATGCGATTCCACCTACATCGAACATCGTTGAGCGCCTGTTTAGTGTTGCCCGTATGGTTCTACGCTACGAGACGAACCGCCTTACCCCTCTGGTACTCGAGATGATCTTGTTTCTTAAGGTCAACAGTTCGTATTGGGACGTGACTACAGTTGATGCCTGTGTCTAGGCTGATAATGTATTTTTCCGCCATGCCATCTCCCATTATTTATTTGCTTTTTGTGCACAACTGCGAACGGTACGTATTTTTCGCTTTCGCGGAAATGAGTAAAAATGATATTGTCGGGTTCCCTGATGGTGGGCAAGGGGAGTGAGCGTTGTGGTAGCATGTCTTTGACATGACTCGGGCCTGGTAATGAATGCAATGACGGCCGGTCTGTTGTTTGTTGGACGCCACACGTGATCCAGTGACACTGAGAGAGTCAGAGGAGGGTTACCGAACAGAAAACAGCAGAGTGAACAGGCCCAAACCACCGCACTCATCGAATTGCCACGATATTAGAGTAACAAAACAAGTGTATATTATATCACACAACTTGATTCATGTAGGAAGTTCTTAGTCTTGGGATATGACCTGCTAATGTCGATCGCTTTGCTGTCGAAACCAGCATGAAGCTATCACTTAATTATGAAACACACATGTGAAGGCATTTAGGCTTCGGCACCTCAATTAGTCACCGTTGACTCAAGAACAAGTGGAAAAGGTAAGCGAGCTTGTGAACAAGCTTCCAAGTGCTTGCCATTGTTGCACACGAATAGCACAGGCAAAACTAAACGATCCCTGCCCGCGTTAGACTGAATACTAGCCTGAATGTTCTAGGTTTATCCTTCCCTGCACACTGTCCTAACACCACTGAACCCCTTCGGACACCTTTCCTAACCACAGCGAGGCGAGCATCGTGGAGCCCCGGCAGTCTGGCGCTTGAGGGAACCGTGACTCAAACAGCAGACATGGTTCACTCCCGCTCGCCAACGCCAACGACGCCACCTCAGCCGTCTCAGCCCTGTTCATCAACATTTGGCTGCTTGCGGGTCAAAAGCGGCACAATCCGTCAAATCGGAGACGTAATCCTTTCTGCCAATCCTCGTTTCAAGGACTTTATCAATTCTGCTTAACTATCCTCTTCTCTTCATCCTATCCTCGCTTCAACGTCGTACCTCCATAAGGACCAAAAGCATGTGCGATTTGCTGTCTACACGCTCCATCTGCCGCCGTAGTCCACCGCGTGATCCACTTACATACTTG